TGGTTTGAGTGAACACGATTCGCTAGTTGTTGTTGTTTATGGATCCTCGTCTAAGGAGACCGACATAGCTTAAATTGTAATGTCATATTTATGATGTCTGACCATTGGAAACGGTAAGGCAGATTGATACTAACTACCACTGACGGCTAACGCAGAGGTCATGCTCTTCTTTGCAACAGGTTTGCCTCAATGTAGGATTTCTACGTACTTACCTTACTCCCGCTAGCCATGCTCCATCAGTGCGATCCATCGAACAAGCGCCAGTAGTACCTTGATTTTGCGCCTTTGTCCAGCCGTGTTTTAGTCTAAGACAGTGAACACGAAAAAATTTTTAAAAAATCTTAGCGATAAAAAACTGCTGCGCGAAACAGAATTTCTATAACCAGAAATAGGAATCCCATGACTCACAACAAGAATGCTTATATCTGAACATAATTCAAACTTGAAAACACTCATTCTGCCACACAATCGAAGGACATTCAGGATATAGCCTTTTAATTCAGGCTGCTACTATCTTTGTTACTTGTGGTACAGTAATAATCGGTCGGTTTCGAACTACGGAGGTATGGGATTCAAATTCTCAAAAAGAAAAAAGTTCTCTTCACCCCTAATTCCCTTCAACAATGAATTCACACCACTCTGCTTCGGTGAAGCCAGCCAAGAAATTGGTAGCAAGCCGTACTTTTGCGAGCAACATGGAAAGTGTGGCATTCTGGTGCGGTAATAGCAGCATGGTTATGACGTGTTATAATCGCTGCATTGCACGACAGGTACGGCAACACTGCCTTGTCTGATGTGAACGCCCCTCACGGCTACAATTCACCTCGATTTACCTTATAGTTGTTTATCCACTGTGACAGTCAGCTCAAAATGTAGACCCTTTTTTCCTTACCTCTTGTAAATCTGTAAAAACGTTTGTAGCTGCACCATCCATAAATCCGGTCTGTACTCTGCACCGCAGAAACCGCAATGCAATCATCATGTCAAGAGATGTCCAGTCGCTTCAAGAAGCACAGTATAGAAGTGCTGGTGCCTCCTAGGCGTTGTAGTGATCTTCAGATCCTACAGTGCAATGAACAACTGAAATCCCAAAATTTTTGGCTTACGAAGCAGTCGCAACCAACTGCTGACAAACCTTCTATGTTTCAAAGTTCATGCAAATGAAAGACAGCATAACTTCCGGCTTGAAAACCCATTTTGAATCGCTCTATATCTGCAATCTTTAGGCGAAAGGTAGACGACTTTAGAGAAATTAAATGAACAAAATAATCGAATATCTACCTGAAATGAATACACGATAAATGAAATCAGATAAAATGATCAAATTAGGCTATTTGATTAGTTAACCAGTCAGTCAGTGTCTGTGACTGCTTATTCCTTCAGGTTGTCCAGGCAGCCGCGTCAGACAATGTGACGAACATTGTCGATCCTTCGATCCTGTGCATGTATCTGGGCTTTGCCAGAAGAAAACCTGTAGCAAAGTCTCTCGAGACACTCCTCGTGTCATTCTTGAGCATTTTAGGGGCTTCGGCCAGTCGGCTGAGCATGTAGTTGAGGCATTCGAGTTATCTGATATGTCTTTAGACTTAAATAATATCTTGACTCGTGGTCTGCCTAGCCGGCGTCCGGCTAAACGCGTTTAATGCCGTAATATTTACTGGGCATAAATATCTTATTATCCTAACTGAAAAACAAAGTAAATAATAAACAAATTTAAAATCTTAATATGAGCAATTCTTTTCAAGTGAAGTAAGTATTTCGTCTACTCTCGAAGATCACAAAAACAAGCGGAAAATCGATATTTACTTGAATATTGCACTGTCTATTACAATGTCCGAATAAAATATTTAGTGTTAGTGAAGTCAGAAAGAGAATATGGTTTCCTGTCAGTGTTTGTTTTAAAACAATAGAAACTCTAAACAATGACATACGATGACCATATATTTCATTAGCAACATTACCAATTTCCTGTGTACTACTTACTTACTTCTTACTGTTTTACTAAATCGTTCCGATACACTTTCGAAACAACAACATAACGAATAGTCAGAATCGAAAATGCAGGGCCGAAACTTCAGCGTTAACAATGATGCAACGTACAATTAGCTTTACAATGACCCGGGATAAGTGGTACAATCAGTGTAGTTTATTTGTATAATTAAAAAATCAAATCACACTTGTATATGTTATATGTGCCATATGATGAAAATGTCAGTACTAACGAGAAAAAATAGTAAGACGACGGAGTGGATAAGAATACAAGCGGAAATTTGCGATTTTGCTATAAGAACGAAGCAACTGAAGTGCTGTGAGAAGGAAGCTTCACAAGAAGAGCCGACCATCGCAAGACCAGTGAGGCAATAGAATGGGCTGCACGAGACGGTAAACGGCCTGTAGGAAGACGTTCAGGTCATTTGTAAGATAAACTTTGAAAGTTCGTTGGATCGAGACGAATATAAATTGCAAAAATAATTTAAATTAGTGCCAAGGTCTTAGGGAGATCATCATTCAAAAATCGATCGACAAAGGCTGATGATGATAAGTGAAAAATATCCAATCATTTTTTGTTATGCAGTGGCATAAGGGAGCTTCACTATTTCTGTATTACTCTCGATAGACACACTTCAAAAAACAGATTAAGGATAACATGTCTGTGATTTTGGGAAAAGTCATGTTCATTGTTTAATGATAGTCAACAAATTCATTTTATGATAATGCATAAATGTTGACTATGGCTATACTATAGCACATTTACTATTACATTTTTCGAGTTTGGCTCATTCTATGCAATTTATATCTCCTTTTCGTTAGCTTCATTCAGTTCTTGTTCATGTTCTTCTTCCTTTGGTGTTCATCTTTCGCGTTTTGCTTTCTGTTCCACGGCTTTCCACTTTTATATTCTTTTATTCTTTTTTTCTCTATTGCAATCATCATCATTCTTCTTCCTCCCTTTCCGTGTCCCCTCCATTTTCATTCCCTTTCGACCTCTTTTATTCCTCATTCTCTCCGTGCTTTCATTTCCATTAGCACTTGCTTCACTCGCAATGCAATGTTTTCTTTCATATGTGTTGATATATTATATCTTGTCAATGAACCCGCTCATTCTCTAGAATCAAACAGTGACAATGAGCGCAGCAAGTTCTGCAAGTAAATTTGGGAAGAAGCTCGGGAATGAATTCAAGATTGGGGCCCAATTGGTGAAGAAAAAGCAATTTTCGTTTGTTGTCTCGTACCGTCAGGAAAAACGTGCTGACAAAAATTAGCAAGGTGACGGCAAGGTCATTGAAAACATTCAAAGACCTTGAAGTAGGCGAGAATCAGCTAACTCAAAACTATATCCGAAGGCAAAAACAGTCTAATCGGGGTCTCATAAACAAGCGCGACGAGTCAATGTGAAAAATGAGTGACACGAATTCTATAAGCATCAATTCCGCGATGATTGAAAACTTGAAAACTAACATTGGCAAGGTTATAAAGTTAGGCCTATAAAATCAACACTATTTATAGGCAACGCCGTCTATTGAACCGCTTCAATCTGTTCCAAACGTTGATTCACTGTAAGAAATTTCTGGCTGGATTAGCTATATATCTGCTGTCCATTTTTCTGTTTATTCATGCATCTATCTATCTATCTATCTATCTATTTATTTATCTATCTATCTATCTAT